AAACATCAACCTTGATCAGTTGCCCCTTTTCTGCATCTCTTATGCACCTCAACTGGGGGCCAAACCCGCAACCCAGGCACTGCCTGCCCTGAATGGAACTGGAGAACTTTCTCTTTGCAGAATGACACCCAACTGGGCCCCACAGGTCAGGCATATAGAGGTCAATTTTTATTCAAATGTAGGATGAGTAGGCAACTTTTTACCTGAGATTCCAGAGTAAGATTGTCTGTCTATCTATCTATCTATCTATCTATCTATCTATCTATCTATCTATCTATAGATATACATCGATATATACTAAGACATGTAGATAGGGATATATCTGTACAAAATGAGCTTCTCCAGACAAAGAATGGACACATGTATTGAAGAGTCCATGGTTTTCACTCAGTGGTTCATGTTATGGAAACATGTTTAACAAGATAGATCAGGGTGACCTTTATCAAAGCGTGAGAACAGAGAAGGTAGTAGGTTCACTGCAGTGGTTACAATGACCTGCTGTGACCCAGCACGACCTGTGAGGGTCTCGGGGTCACGTGAGTCAGGAAAGTTCCAAATCAAGGCCCCAGGCTGGTATTGGCACCTGGGAGGGCACACTGCGTGTGGCCTGAGAAGACTGGTTGTCACCGGAGCTGTGCTGACCCAGCAGCAGCCACTCTCCCCTTGCAGCTGTGCGGCACTTGATGGGGATAGCAGCTCGGGAAACCAACGTGCAATTTTCAAGATAATTATCTGTAATTTAAATTTAAATTTAAAACTAGTATTCACTGTGTATTAACCATGTTTAGAACAACTTCATGAATCTATTTTTTAACTATAAATTTTTGAATTCTGATAAATGAAGTTGTTCTGGTGACAATTTAGTGCCTGAATTGAGATGTTCTGTAAGTGTAAAATACATGCGTGATTTCGAAGACTTCAAAAAAAAGAATACAAAATATCTTATTAAAAAGTATTTTAGCTTGATTACATATTGGAATTATAATAGTTTGATATAGTGGGATAATAAAGTGCATTATTACAATTAATTTCATCTTTTTATTAATATGGCTACTGGAAAATGAAAAATTGCACACGTAGTTCTCATTCTATTTCAACTGGAAGTACTGTGACAGCCCGCAGAATAAGAAGCTGCACAATAAGACAGGCCAGGTGCATTCCCATGCCCTGAGAAACTACTGATGTTAGAGAAGAATCTCCTCCAGCTTCTATGTAGTGGCCTACTGCGGGGATTTATCTCAAACCACCATCAGCCCAACTGCCTGCTCGTTGTGCTGGCTTTCATCTCAGAAGTTCAACTAATACGAGATTCTGGGCAATGCTGTCTGAGTGTGTAGCCCCACCAGCAGCCAGCTGAAGAGCCAGCCTACTCTCTGCTGTTCAGTCCAGTGACCCGGGCAAGGGCTGGACTACAGGATGTATCAGAAAAGTAATTTTCTCGGAACTAGGCTGCCCACCTTCAGAGATGCTGCTGTTAGGCAAATAAACATTCCACCAAAACCAAAGGGTCTATAAGAGAATTTGACCCAGCGTCTTCATTTTGAATACCATCCTCTAAAATGAGCTCATACTCAACACCCATTGTTCGGCACACCAAGTTAGGACCAGACTGGACTGGAGACAACTGCTGAAGAGATGCATGCACATTCAGGCATGCCTGGATGGGCTTTGACCGGGCTTCTAGACTGCACTCTTCCCTGGAAGTATGGCTCTCTGGGAACTGGTAGGTACACATTGTCTGTATCACAAATGGCGTTTAGAAGCACTTCAGTTACACTGGGTGCACTTTGTTGTCTGTTGCCATTGTTCGGGTGATGGATTGGTTGCTTCTTCCTGGAGAAACCACAAACTATTACTAGAGAAGATTTCCTGACTGAATTCAATGGTTTCTCATATTCCCCCTTTGGAAATGTCGCATTAAATGGCACCAACATCTTTCCAGTTCTATTCTCAGTCTTCTCTAATTGATCACGATCTTTCTTGTGGGGAAATATACCAAAGTGGAATTGACATCTTCACTGCTTATTTCTATCCTAGGGATTCATTCCTGTTCTAGTCTTTTCACCCCGCTCCCACCTCTCTTCTAGGCTGTAGTATTACAGTTCTAACTGCGGGTTGTATTTTATCTGTTTCCCTAAACCCCCACACATTTAAATTACACTATATATTACCTAAGGTATCTTTAGAGGACTTGAAAAGCAGAAAGAAAAAGAAAAGTTGGTAGAAAGTATGACATCTAAAGGGTGAAAAGTCCGCATTGTGAGGCAGGACTTTGTACTGGACGACACTGGCCCTCTGTCCACCTCCTTTCCCGGTCACTGAACCGCATTCTAATCACTCATCGGGCTTCCAGGGAGCTTGACTCCTCTCCTTAAGTTTAATGTTCTAACATAGCCTAAGGATCAGTTACTGTCTCCATGTTCAGAACTATTTTTATGCAATACTTATTTATTTTTGCACTATATTTTGGGCCCTGAAACTGCAAAACTGCAACACAATAAGGGGGACATATTTTATATATGTGGGTGGTGTGTGAGTGTGTGTGTGTGTGTGTGTGTGTATGTAGAGAGAGAGAGAGATCTAGATATAAATATATCTAGATATATTTATCTCCTCTAGAAAAGTAAATAACTCAGATTTTTACCTCTTCTGCAGGATCAGAAAGGCTTGTCTAAGGTAATGCCATTTGAGAATGTGTAAGGTGTAAGGGCCTTGGGGTAAAAAGAAGCAAATTACTGTAAAAGAAATATTGTTCCAAACCTAGTCTGGGACAAACATTATTTCTGGATATAATTAGTAATCTCCTTTAAAAAATAAATTAGGACTCTGATAAAATGTTTAGCAAGTTTCAATAACTGGTTAATTACTTACGGGATTTTTGACTTGGAAAACCAATTACTCATGCCAGAGGCTGGGGATTTCCAAAAAACAAAACAAAACATTTTTTGGTGTAATCTACGTTTTCTATAAATGTCTTCACTAGGTGAGAAAGCTTTACATTGACCTAACAGGGATTTTCCCACACAGCAAGACTGTAATGAAACTTTGACACAGGCTTGTAGCTGAATTGTCTGGGAAGTTGTTGTTATTGTTCCAACAATTAATTCTAGGTTCTAAAATAGCGTTCCCTCCTAGAGAGGAGAATTACACAAGGGCAGTGGACATGGTGAAAAAGGATGCCAAGGGATATAAGCAAGGCCCTGACTGAGCAAGGAATTTTTGTCCTTCAGTGTTTCAATCTTATTGTTAAAATAAGAAAAAGAGGAGGGAGGTGACTGCACTTACACTTCATAAAGACCAGTCTTTCCACAGCAGCGCTGTTCACCAGCAATAGAAATAGGAAGGCAGTCGCAGACATGAGCAACATGTTTAATTGTAAGTAGTCTGGTAGCCACATTAAAAAAGTGAAAAGAATCAGGTCATTTAATTTTAACACTATAGTGTTAAAATTAATATAACCCAATATAGTGAAAATATTTTATTTTAACATGGAATCACTGTAAACAATTATTTATTCAGTTGGTTGTTCATCAACATCAACTCTACCATACCAATGCAGAAAATTAAGGTGAAGTATTAAAAACTACAATGAAAAAGGAAAGGTATACTTTTTTTACAATTTTATGAAAAACAAACAACTTGAGAAGTTTATTTTTCTCTAAAAAGTTTCTGAATCAGAATGTGCTACACACATTTAATTTCTGTTAATGTACTTTCTTACTTACTGATGAACTCCTGGATAACTAAGAGATAGATAAGTATACTTCATGTGGAGAACAGATCTTCTGGTGATTACTTATCATCTTCACTGAACCAAAACTAAAAACTGAATCAATACTGCAACTTTTACCTATTTGTTGGTGCACCCCACCCACAAAAAGCAAACCACAATTAAATCTTCTTTTTAAACATCTTAACTGATCAAAGCATAGAACCGAACATTATGTAAGGTGGCTCCTTATAAATTTTTTTTTAAAATATGAAAGTCTAAAAAATGGAAATAAAGGTATTTGAATTTCTCCAAATTCAAACACAATTTTCTGCTATTGTTGATTCAGCCAGTGTCTAAAACCTCTCCTGTAGCTACTATTCAGTGGACTTTGCCCCCGTCACCCCTGTAGTAGAGAACTTAGGGTCCCAAGAAGCAAAGAAGTGCAGAGATACAATTGCACTAAAAGTACACTCCTTGGGACCCTGGCCTGTGTCTCACTGCTTCTGGTGCTAAGCAAGTGGCCTGGCACCTATTAGTTGCATAATAAATTTTTGTTGAAAATAATCATAGCTAACACTTATATATCACTTAAGATGTAACACTTTCCTGAGTGCTTACATACTTTAAAACATTCCATCTTAAAAACAATCTTATAAGGAGATACTATATTATCCCATTTTATAGAGGAGGGAATTGGATGAAAGATATACTTTTAATAAGACTCCAGTATTATCTTGAATATACAGTTGACCCTTGAACATGGGTTTGAACAGCACAGGTCCACTTATATGTGGATTTTCTCAATAAATATACAGCCTCCACCCCTCCACCCCCGCCTTTATCCCTGAGTTTCCCATGCATGGATTCAAGGAGCAGTACTTCTGATCCACAGGTGAGAATCTGAGGGTGTAGAGAGCCAACTGTATGTATTGTTCTGTGCCATGTTATATAAGATTCTGGCATAAGGGCCCTGGGACCAATCCCCAGCAGATACAAAAGATAACGTAAGGTTTTGGTGAGTGAAAAGTTAATGCGGAATTTTGACTGCATGGGGTCAGTGCCCCTAAGCCCCCAGACATTTAAAGGTCCACTGTGTTTACAAATCAAATCCTTGTGAGAGCTATGAGGCCCTTTCTGTGAGGCACGCACAGCAGAAACCCGCAGACACCCCTCTCACTGGCACATCAGCAGTGCGCACATTTGGAAGCCTGATGTTTCATGCATTGCTACTCAGGTTTTCTCCACAGATGGACGCCACACCTTGTTGTCAATAAATAATTCCACTTTAATGGCAAAGTAATAATTTAGACAGATACAGGGTGCACATTGGCAAAAAAATATATGCAAGCTGGTTTACAAGCTAAAGGAACAATAAACCAATAGAAAATACATCATCCAGTTAAGTCCATTGACACCAAGTACTTATTGTCAGGGCTTTACAAAGACTACAAAACTTTTCAGATGGTTTATTTCACTGTTTCTGCCTATTTACATGATATGTTACATCAAAAATGTACAAAATATAAAATGTGTACAGACAAATGTTTCACAAACTAGTTTAAGTTGTAAACTAGGTGGACCTACTGGGATGTGCTGCAGGAATTGGCTTATGATTGTGTTGGGGCTGTTTCTCAAAATGGCAGGGAAAGATGAGTGGTGTTCTCAGATCACATATTGTACAAGGGCAACTAGTCACTCATCCAGCTACATGTATCGATGTTTCACAACAGATTCGATCCACGTTTGAGGCTTCAAAGTCAGGGTGACAATTCTATGTGCGTAAACTCCGTTCAGATTTCCCTTAGGGCAATAGCACCACATGGAACCTAGAGACTCAGTGACACTCTCAAACTGCACGGATGTCTTGTGTTGTTTTTGTTCCGGAGCCAAGGACCCATGGTGGTTGCAGAGAGTAGCACCAAGTACACATCCTGAAGGTAACACGGTTCACATGCACAGGACAAGTCCACACCATGGCCTAGCCCTTGGGTTCCATCAGCTGCAAACCTTTCCTCTGTGTGTGCTGGCAACTTCTCCGATGACCTCGATCGGTTTTCACACACTCTCTTTAAAGCCTGCCATGACAGATGCACTTTGGGACATTTTCACTTTTCCAAAAATGTACTGGCTCATGTCCGGTTCGGAAGCATGCTCACGCTAGCACTGACAGCTCCTGCATGGTCATAACAACTGTGAATACGGGACAAACACACCAGGTAATAACAGCTTCGAGGGGTTGCATTCTGTGTTTGTTTGCAACGTACAGGAAATCTCAGCAAGTGAAACACCTCTTAACACCAACAGGATAACATACAATTTTTTGTGTTTGTTTTGATTTGTGCAAGTTTTTAAAATTATTATTTACAATACCTACCCAGTAGACTGTGCAAATCTAACCTTCTTTTACAGTATAAACGCCTCCTCTTCCACAGTGACGTCACTGCTGCAGTGTTCTATAATGCTGAATTTCTCACGTACAACAATAGCAATCAAAACAACATGCTCAAAACTAATTAAAAAAAGAATTGGGGAGGAAAGCCAAATGGTTGTGCTCACGCTGCATCTAGTGCGTCCAGCTCTGCTGGATGAGAATTCAAACTCTCCCACCTTCTGAAACTCTCTCACCTGGACCTGGATGGAATTCAGCCACATGTCTTAGCTGTGAAGTGACAGTCAAAGAGGGTTTCTGTGTTACAGGGGTATTTTGGAGGATAGGCAAAGCAAACTACTCACAAGGCAAAAACACTGATCTTTCTCCTATCCATTTCTTCAAAAGAATATCTATAGAGATGAGGCTACCGTGTTAATTGGTGTTGCTTGGTTGTAAATGAAAGGACAGTGGAAATTACTGATGGTTTAGGACTTAAACCGACTGTTAAACTGTTGTAGAAATCTGTTTTAAGGCAGTGAGACAGCACCATAGGAAATGCTCCTTCTTTCACTGAAAAGGCTCAAACAATTAAAGCCCTAAAAAAGCCTTTTTTCAGTGTTGACTAATAACTGGTATAAAACTCTTGTTAAGGGAGTGGGCAGGTGGCTTACAAAGACCACGGTGGTAAAAAGAACCTTATAAAACCGGTGACTCAGATACTAGACAGTTGGTGGAGCACGTCATGGGGACATGGCAGTTGAGAACTAAGTTGGCACTTCTCCAGCTCGCCCCAGTAGTGTTTTCTGGAGGTTGCACAATTCCATTTGTGCTTACGGAGGGCTGGCCTCTCCGCTTCTTTTTGGAATAGGGTGAGCGCACGACACAACACTACTGGAGCCCTGTGACCAGCACCATGTGGCACAAAGGAGGTTGAACGGATCAGAAGAATGGACCCTGCTCAGGGAGAACAGCTTGTCAGAGGAAACAAAATGAAGGGACAAAAAAAGGTCTGTATTGTAAACTTTTAAAGAGGAAAATCATAAAGTCCAGTTTGGCTATCCTGTGTGCAATCTATTCAGCTGCCTATCACCAGGGTCCTCTCCAGTTGTGTAACGGAGCTTTGTATCACTCCACAGATATAAAAATGCCTAGAAGTAAAATAAAGTTAAGCTTCCATTTCCATTTAACATCTTGGTGGTTCAGACTTAGTTCTTCTGCCTCCTTGGAGACCACGACTCTGGGTCAGGACCCTTGATAGGTGCTTTCATACTGGCAGTGGTTTAGTGAAAATATCTTGTGTTTTAAACATTTTTAAAAGGCATAGTCTTCCCCCCTAACTCTTTTCCCCCATTAGAGGGTAGATTCGAGAGATGAATCCAAATTGTCTTCATGGTGGCTGGTGCTATCGCTGTCGCAGCTTTGTGTACCCGAGTAATTGGCTGCTTCTTGGAGTTTCATTAGCATATTCATCTGAAGAAAGAAAAAGAGACATCGGATGCAGGCGGTGATGCACCCAGGATGCCAGCCCCACCGAATACGAGGCCCGGAGCCACACGATGCGATGAGGAACCGTCTCATCCCATACGAGTGAAATGGAAAAACAATCTTAGATTTTTGTAAGTTGCCCCTGGCTCCTACATTATTTTTCCCAAATATGACTACAACACCAAACCATAAGGACAAAATAAAGCCTCTAGATCACTCTTTTATTTGGGGTTGTGAATGAATACTGCTCCAGCAGGGAAACTGGGAAGGAAACTGTATCACAGCTGGACATCTGGGCTCATTGCTGGAGAGTGTGCCAAGCTTCCCAGCTTTTTGGCCAGAGCAGCAGAAAGCACTGAATGGCAACTGAAAGTCGTGAGTGCTCATACACAGACGCACACACAGGCTCGTGTGCACAGTCCCCAGAGAGAAGGGAGGATGCAGTGGCATGGAGCCAGCTGCTACACGCAAGCACACCATCTGCTGCTTAGGACCTGCCCTGGAGGGGAGGTGACTGAAGGAAGCAAACCATGAGTGTTGGAAGAGGGAGGAGGAAACAATCACTGTCAAATTTCTGTTGTTGAGTTTCTGGCTAAAATATGATTGATATATCACCGACAACAAAAACCACCTTCTGGAACAATAGCAGCTGTCTCAAGTTTCCCAGCCTTATAGAACAATGGCAATATTTGTTTCAGTAAAAGGACATAGGCATGAAAGCACCCAGGGAGAAAGACAGCTAACATTTCCATGTATTACAAATAAAAGGCAGCCGCCTTGCCTGGATTTCAATAGATCTGCAGATCCTCTGTAGGAGAGGGAAGTAAAAAGAAAGATTGGTTTAAAAGCAAATTGTAGACAAGTGGTTCAACAAAGCACAGAATAATTGGCACATTTCTTCATGAGACGGTGGACTTGCTTTCTTATCAAGGGTTTCTATAAACTAATCATCTTTATATTATTTAATGCTTACTAATTTTATTAATTTATAAAATAATAAAAGTTCTTCTTTTTCACCTCAAGAAATATGTAACCTGATCCCCTGGAAAGGAGACATCTAAAAAGGAATTCTTTGGTCATACATCAGGCTGTGCGTGCTTGTGTGTTCAGTGTGGAATGTGTTTGAAAAATGCTCGTGACGTAAGTGATAAAATGGTTGTCATCAATTTTAGCAATGATGCCTTTCTGGCAAAGGGGCTACAATTATAGCATATTTTAATATTCTTCAGGAAAATAGTTTTCAATACACTTTTCGGTCTAACTCTCTGAATTTTTTATATCAGCTACATAAGAATATTAAATAAAAGTAGTTGGTGATAACCTCCTACACTCAGTAAGCCACAAAGCTAAAATGTCTCCATCAGCAAAGTTTTTTTCTCTCCCTTTCTCTCCTTCTCCTTCTCTGTCTCTCTCACGCACACACACCCCCAGACCTTCATGCACAATCGTGTTCCCTCCCTCCTTCGCTTTGTCAGTTCCTCCCTCATTAATAGTGGGCTCGCTATATGGTCAAGCATCTGGGTGAAGATAATCTGTAAAATAGATCTCTGTTTCAAGTACCCTCCTGATTTACCAAGAGCAGAAATGGCCAATGAAGTCTGTTTAAAGGGTTATGATTCTACCCTAGTCACAAACATTTGAAATTACTTGAATGCTGAATATTGTAAAATTTTTATGTTGTGATAACAGTGTTCTTAAAGTCTTAATTTTTAAAAAGGTGCCATATTGTAAATATGTTCCATTAGAATAAGTTCCAAGTTTCAGATTTGTCGTAAATGTATATAAGAGATTTACTTTGCCTTCTCATAGTGTTGCTTTGTGCATTCAAGTCGAAGGACATTGTAAGAGGAAAGGAAGGTTACATATGATTCAATACTGACTGGGATAAATAATTATTCTCTGCAAAAGCATTTCCCTTCTCCCTTCTTTTTCCCCATACCCAGAGTTATACTTACAATGTTTATCATTTGTAATATCTTGCTCAGGACCTTATCATCCATAATATTTACAAATCTGCTAGTCTACTAGCATCCACCCTCTTTTCTTTAACATTTCCTCTACTCTGTCAACAAAGTGATCCTATAAACTTCAAATCTAGGTAAGTTCCCTGCTCAGAAGTATTTGGTGTCTCTCTGTTCTCTGTATGACCAAGTTTTAACTTCCTACAAAGCTAAACCTAGCTTGGTGTGATCTAGCAATTGCAGATTTCGGAAACTTCAGTTCCTCTTTCCCCTTTGTTCTAATCTCACTGATATGTATATAATTCCCTAAACTCATTGTTTTTCTTATACGTCTGACAATGTTTACCTGCTGCATCCTTAATTTTGAATGTCCTCTGTCCAACCACATGATGAACTTCTAGTCATCCTTCCAGACCTAGCTCAAGCATCCCCTCTGTGAAGCTTACAACTTCCTCAATGGACTTACAACTACTTAGCAGGTACCTCCACCATTATTTTACTGCAATTTAGATAGGGAGATGTCTCTCTCTACTACTGGACTGTGAGCTTCCTGCAATCAAAAATGGTATCTTATTCATCTCCTGATCAGCAAGTCTTAGTCCTGAGTACATACTTATCCCATACTAGCAATTGTAGTATGCACGATTAAGTTTGTTGATGATGAATACACATTATATTTTTTAAATACAGTGAGATATGCTGAAAATCTGCATCTTTGTTCAGATTAAAATCATATTTATGACACTAAGTAGGGGACTTCCCCTAATATTTGATTTAGATTATCTACAACTATATTTTTACCTTATGTTTGTAATTGTAGAAATAGAGAAATAAAGATAGATTCAGCATGTTTACTTTCCTACCAGAATGTGCCTGGTCAAAGAAGTATTTTTAGACAATAAGTCTTTTGCCCTTTAGTACGTCATACAGCACAACCCCTTGTTTCTTCAGATGTGCAGCGGATTAGGAATCAGGGACGTTTTTACCCTAATCTTCACTCAGAATGGGAGACTCGGGATGTCTTTTGCAGACTGGAAGACGAGTGCATTCAGTGCCAGGGAAAAGAGTGTTTAGTGGGTTTGGCCAATCAAGACTGTGGAAATGGGAAAGCTGAGGGCATCCCTAAGGGTACCAACTCTACACAGTAACTCTGATAATAACTGTGAAAAACATTTCTCCTTGTGTGAAACAGAGACAGACAAGGAGTGAGAGAGAGGGAGAGAGATAACCTTTGTTGATGGAGATATTTTGGCTTTGTGGCTGACTGAGTTTAAGAAGTTATCACCAGCTATCTTTATATCAAAACCACAAAGGTAGAACTGGAATTTATTTAAAAAAAATTATGTGAAATAACCCATAATTGTACCCCAAGGCTTACATTTACTCTATGAAACTTTAACCATCTGATCAGCAATTATTTAGTGCATGTTCACAATCACGCTAGTTTCAAACCAATTCCACCACTACTGTTAATTTCTATGAATGTGCTAACGGGTCAGGTGCCCACTATAAAAATGCAAGTCCAGGCCCTTTCGCAGTTTACAGTCTAGAAGATCAAAGGTCCTAAACAGGATAGTCCTAGACTCCAGGGAGATGTAGTATATATTTCTGTGACATAATGGAATTCTTTGAGATCATGTGCAAAATTTTCTGTGTGTGCATTTTATTAGGGAAAGGGTATTGAAAATTGACCAGATTATTTACATGTAACTCCCAAACATTAATGATGATCAACTGAAGTGATGATGACATAGAGCTGAGGTTGCTGGGGTGAGGGTATTCCATGCATATGAAGCCATTTTATGTTTTTGGCTATAGTTTTAGATTATGAATTTAGTAATTTCCTTTTTATTCGTTTTAAGCAATGTAATGGCATTTATTTCATTATGTTTTCTTTCTGTATTGGTTGTGCAAGTTCAATAATCTCTTTAGTCACAGATGGTAAATCAACAAACACATTATATTTGATATCGATCCATAGAAAGTGATCTAGAAAAATAAGTACATAAAATTAAAGTCTTTTTCCTAATAATGCCATGTACTTAATACCTTCTGAGTATTCATACTTTGAGGTTTTGTCAAGTTTTATTAAGCCATATGCAATTGCAAATTGAATAAGGCAGAGAGAATTACTTCCTTTTGATTTCCAAGTCAGTTTGTTCTTCTTTACTGTAGGCAAGAAAAGACTAATTCTATATTTAGTCAGACTGGATAATATATGTAAAATACTCTCTAGTTCTTCACATATACATTAGAGTATACTCTTTTTATTTCTTCATTTAGTAAAAACATTCAGTTTTCTCTTAAACAGTGAGTGAATTTAGCCATGCATTTAAAATTTTTAATTATCCTTTCACACATGTTTATGCTTAATAAGAGAAAAATTATGGTCATAAAGTACAGCCTGGTTTCAGTGTTTCTTGATTGTTTTTAAGCATACGAGTTTGGTTTTTCATCTTAAGATATTCACCCAATGAAAACAGGCCAAGAGTAAGAGTTGAAAATGAGTATCAATTTCAAAAAAATCCCAAATATTACTTAATATAACTAATGCCTTTGATACAAATGACTAAATACTAATGACCACACACTGTAATCAAGATTCCATAGAAAGAATCGCACATCAGCCTCTTACCAGGGGGTCCCCCTCCGTGTCAGTCTGTGGAATGTGCTTTGAGGTTGTGGCTTCCTTAGTGGAGATGCAACCCTCATACCCAACATCTTCTGGTCGCAGCTGAAGCAATGCTGGGCCCCCCTGAGGCAGAGAGGCTGAGCTCCAGGGGTAGGTTTCCAGCACCCACTTTGAGGGATCTTCCCAAGGTGCTCGTTTCCCATACATCTAAAAGGGGATCCCATATTTAGCACACATAAAATGCATTTCTATTTAGTTAAAAAGATGGCTAATAATTGAGAGATTCCTTTGCACTCTGAGTTTTTATGGGACTTTCAAGGGAATTACTGTGCTTATACAATTGTCCATATTTTCAACATATAGCTGTCTACAAAGCTCATTTTAAACTTGAAGGCTAGACAAAATAAATCTGAACATCAGGGAAAGATAATCAGCAGTTAGGGGAAAGTATGAGGGGGGTTTTCAATAACATGTTGAAATGACTGCTCACATTTATATTTCTTAGTAATTTACAAACCAAAAGAAAACTCAAAATTGAGAAAAAATATTCCAATTATGGAAAATTGAAAAAGCTATGCTAGATACCAAATAGAGTTCTCTGCAAAAATGCAATTTGGAAAGATGATTAATAAAAGAAAAGAGATTTTTTTCTGTCTTTTTTCACTCCACTCACAGTTCCTTTGAGAATAAGAATACTTTCTCTGATAACCATCTTCCTCAGATTAACTTCATCTAATAATCTCATCATTTCCTGTAAAAACTTGTTTTCGATATTTATTTATAAGGCCAGTAGTAAAAGAAGAGAAAAAAATTGGAAAATAAAAGCATCAACTTTGTAAGGACTCATATGGTCAATAATAAAAGGGTGACAGAGCCTAGTTAAAATACTGTCAGGGGAGTAGCAGCGAGAAGATGAATGTTAAGAGATGTTAAAATCATACTGGGAAGGGCACACTGAGGAGACAGAGGTTGAAGGGACTTTGTAAAAAAAAAGCATAAGGCAACACGGGGAGAGAAAGAAAAGTTAAAATTAAGAGGGCAGTAACATGGGTCCACCAGTTATTTAATTTGCTTCCCATCTCCCTGTGATGTGCTTTACGGAGGGCAACCCTGGTTACAGGTACATGTTTGGTCCCAGATGGCACACTGCCAGGTATTCTATGTGGCTTGCTGCTGGTCAACGAGACAAAAGCAAAATACTGGACAATAAAGCCTTGGAAGTGTCTTTTGGGTTTTCCCTGGACAAGATGTATGTAATCTGAAGACTTGCTTTACAAAAAATCTCCAGGTCCTGATATCTGAGTATTTCCTTAGGAGATGATGATGAGGGTAGTAATTATTAGATTTTTAAAATAGTTCTTTTGTTTTGGAGCAGAAATTTTCTCTTAGTTAAAAACTTACTTTCTAGAACAGGAGCAAGTATCACATGGACAAAAACTGGGGGGGGGGTGGAAATGGGAGGGAGGTGGGGAGGGTGGGGGGGTTGGCTGAGATGGGAGTAAAAGACAGTAAACTCTACTTGAACAACAATTACATAAAAATTTAAAAAAGAGAAAAAAACATACTTTCTAGAGATGTAAAACATAGCTTGCTAAACAACTTAAACTAATTGAAGAAAACATGTAATTCTTAGAAAGTAAATGTTATGGAAAGAATAGGAAAGTCTAGAACCAACCGGTGCCAGCCTTTTAAAGAATCATCAAGGACAGCAAAATAGGAGGGATGACCAATTAAATAGTCACCCCCCAGTTCTATATTTCAGAATTCAACAGATTTAAAATACAATTAAAAAAAGAAATTTAAATACTCATAATGAGATGAACTCCCTGTTGCTATTTCAAAAAAAACAGAATTGCCAGAACAAAAATCAGAACCTGTGCATCACCAGAATTTTTTCTAACCGGAACATCTAGCAGAGAGTATTTCCCACATGGTTCCTCACCAAAGCATTAGCTTCCATTTAAAATGGTATTTTTCTATTCCTCTCAACTCAGATTTTCATCTTTGCAATTAGGCTTTGTTTGTCCACCTCTTGCTCCAATTCAAGGTTCTTTGCTGCCAGTAGTAGATCAAGGAAATGGTTCATGACATATGTGGTTCCTTTTCTTCTCGCTCTTCCAGAAGGCATATATGGACCATCTCAAGAATGTCATGTCATCTACTAATGGACTTCTGGATTAGCCCAGCTTTAGCAGCAATGAGAACTGTTTATTCACCAAAGCATTTTCTTTTATTATATTTCCCATGTGCTCATTATTCCTTCCAAACTCCTTACATCACAGTTGATTCAGCATTCACACTAACCTACTATGAAACACCCAGCAAGAAACTTGAACATTTTATCCCTTTTAAAAAAACAAATTTGGGGACTTCTGGTCAAGATGGTGGCATAGGTAAAGACAGCTTGCCTCCTTGCAAACCACATCAAAACTACAACTAAATTACAGAACAATCATTGCTCAGAGACAGCAGAAATCAAGTTGAATGGAAGTCTGACAACTATGGAATTAAAGAAACCACACCCATACAAACTGAAAGGAAGGGCACAGATACAGAATGAGCTGGTCACACATATACATGTGGTGGATAAAAATCCAGGAGGGATATCTTGGGAGCAAGGAGTCTCAGACCCACAACAGGCTCCTCAACCCAGGGTTCCAGTGCCAGGAAGATACATTCCCATAACTTCTGTCTACAAAGATGAGCATGAATTGAGTCAGTGAAAGAAACTGCTGTAATACCAAGCAGTTCCTCTCAAAGAACCCACACACATACTTATTCAGACTCACTCCCTCTGAGCTCCAGCACCAAAGTAGCAGCTTGAAAGGCTCTGGGGACATACAGGGAGGAACCGAAGGGGTTGGCATCAAGGCAAGAGCTGAAGGACAGCTTTCCCCCAGACAGAAAGGTGAAGAGAGGCCATCATCCATTTCTCTTCCCATAGAACCACAGAGCTGGCAGGTGGGTACCATATCTAAGACTCCATCAACTTGGCTAACACTGTTTGCCTCACCCTGGAGATCCCACAAAGCTCCATCCCACCCAACTTACAGCTGTCAACAGCAGCTTTTCCATAGAAATGGCTGGTCTTGGCTCAAGCTTCACACTCCCTTAATCCTTTCAAATAAGCTATGGCTGGCCTCAGTGAGATCCCAGGCCCAGTATGCTCAGTGGCCCTAGGCCTGGGTCTAGCAGCAGCCAGCCTAGATTCACAGCTTGGCTTCACCTGAGAATCTCCAAGACCATCACAAGTAGCAGCCATCTCAGAATGCTTTATACCTCAGGAAGGGTGGGCCCAGTCAAAACACAGGTAGGGGCTGACCTTGGCCTGCACCACCTGGGAAAACCCAGGACCTGTGCACCCAGTTGGATAGCTACAGACCACATCAGAGCACCACCACCCTGCCTGTGCACCGCTGATCCTTCACAGGGGGTAGTGGTTGGTGGTCAGTGGGCACAGCCAAACTTTGCAACTGACTGGCCTGGGTAAATTCCTCCCATTCATCTGCTAACAGCAACCAAGACTCAACTATAAGAGGAGGGTGTACTCAGCCCACATGAAGGGCACACCTAGAATACCTAGCTCAAGTAGTAGGGGAGGCTATGCCACTGGACCTTAAAGGACACCCTCTACATTAGGCCATGCCACCAAGACAGGAAGTCATAGCAGTTCTTCTGATACATAGAAATAAACACAGGAAGGCTTCCAAAGTGAAGGAACAAAGAAATATAGCCCAAATCAGAGAACAGATCAAAATTCCAGAAAAAGAACTAAACAAAATGGAGATAAGCAGTCTATCCAATGCAGAGTTCAAAACACTGGTATAAGGATACTCAAGGAACTCAGTGAGGACCTCATGAGCATAAAAAAGATCTAGTCAGAAATGAAAGACACACTAATTGAAATAAAGAACAACTCACAAGGAAACAACAAAAGAGTGGATGAAGCCAAGAATCAGATCAATGGTTTGTAACAGAAGGAAGTGAAAAACAACCAATCAGAACAAGAAGAAGAAACAAGAATCCCTCACTCCACCCCCCCCCCCATAAATGGGGATAGTGTAAGCAGTCTCTGGGGCAACTTCAAACATTCCAACATTCACATCATAGGGGTGCTGGAAGGAGAAGAGAAAGAGCAAGAAATTAGAAATCTATTTGAAAAATTCATGAAAGAAAAATTCCTTAATTTGGTGAAGGAAACAGACATACAAGTGTAGGAAGCACTGAGAGTCCCAAACAAGATTGATACCAAGAGCCCACTCCAAGACACATCACAATTAAAATGCCAAAGGTTAAAGATAAAGAAAGAATTTTAGAAGCAGCAAGAGAAAAGCAGATAATTATCTATAAAGGAGTTCCCATAAGACAATCAGCTGATTTTTCAAAAGAAACATTGTAGGTTAGAAAGGACTGGCAAGAAATATTCAGTCATGAAAAGCAGACACCTACAGCCAAGACTGCTCTACCCAGCAAAGCTATCATTTAGAACTGAAGGGCAGATAAAGAGCTTCTCAGACAAGAAGAAGCTAAAGGAGTCATCACCACCAAACCAGTAGTACATGACATGTTAAAGGTTCTTCTTTAAGAAGAAGAATATCAAAACTATGAGCAATAAAATGACAATAAATATATACCTGTCAACAATTGAATCTAAAAAACAAACTAAGTAAACAAGAACAGAGACAGTATCATGAATATGGAGACCATTTTGATGGCTGCCAAATGGCAGGGTGTCGGGGAATGGGTGAAGAGCTGAGGGAAGTAAGAAGTACAAATAGTTACAGAATAGCCATGGGGGTGTAAAGTGCAGTGTAGGAAATGGAGAAGTCAAAGAACCTACACACATGACCCAGGGGCATGCACAGTGCTGTGGGCATTGCCTGAGGGAGTCGGCGTGTCTGGGTAGAGTGGGGCAAAAGGGGAAAAACTGGGACAACTGTGATAGCATAATCAACAAAATATAACTTAAAAAAGAAAAGTAATTTTGAAATATTTTTCAGTTTTAGTTGGGAAACTGGTACTACTTTTGTGATTATATTTTTGTCCAAATGGAAGTGAAGGAATTATAATTCTCAGGATAATGTTTTATAAGTAATATTGATTTAAATAACTTTTAAAAAAATGCCTGCACTTTAAAAATGAGATTAAGAATCTAGTTGTTTTAAGGTCTTTGAATTTCTGAAGAGCTTCATTCTCTTTCTATGTATAAGCAAACACATGAAATAAGTATTTCATATACAAAGACTTGGATATTAATAAGCTATTATCCAAGTCTTTGTATATGGAATGCTTCATGTTTGAAAAAGTATCTAAGAAACAAATACTTCATTGAAATATTAAGTTTTAAAATGATGACTTCTAGAATATTGGAAGTAAATTTTCAAAAAGAGATTTTTTTTTTTTGTATAAATGACTGAAAGTGAGAGACCTAACTCACATCTTAGGCAGCATAATACTTTCAGAGAAATCTGAAAGGTGATATGTTGTACCTGAACAATTAAAACTTTTGGTATAGTCTTTTATTTCATTGGAACCACTTTCTGGGTTAGATGAACTTAAAAATATGAAATTAGGTTATTTACATCTGGAGTAGAACCAATTGGTAACATGTTCTAGGATCGAGTGGTCAGAGCATCCTCATAGCATTTGTTACGTCCGTCAGAACCATTGTGACAGGCGTAAATACTGCTGTGATGTGTTTGTTCGGTGCGGGGAATGTGTTGATAACAAGGCAGGAAAAGGGAAAAAAAGAGATAACAAATTCTTTAGATAGTAAAATAAAGGCAACACAGTATTGGAGATGACAAAACATGAAAAGCCACGTCACAATCCTGGTAGCAGTTGTAATTACCAGAAATAATTATGCCTACGCAAAAACTGCCTAAACCATGGCTGAGTTATTGAAGATTGGATTCTTCTATAATAAGTCAGGTAATTAGGTGACACAAATCTTAACTTTTCAACCCGGAGCTTTATAATTCTACAATTTCATGAAATTTCAACTCTAATTTAAGGACTTTCAACTCTAATTTAAGGATGTAGGGTGACTAATGGAAAAGGGGTAATACGTTTGGTTAAAGAAACAAGGTTTTCTTATTAGTAATATGTTTTGACTTTTTAGTTAAGAGTAAATAGAAGGGCTAATTACAGGGCCTTGGGAGAGGAATAGCAGAGATGCTGCAAACCAACGTGTCATAGAACTGCCTCAGAACTGAGAGGACTCTCAAAAATAGTAAAGAAGCTTGCAAGTGATGTTAAAGGGCTTCAGATGGCACAGCATACTGAAAACAGGGAGCCTATGAGCAAAAACTGCTGGTTGCCAACTACACGATAAGAGTATAAATGATCAAAGCTTGTGTAAATGCTCCTGTCTTATAAGAGGTAGTGCTCTGCTTTTAATGAGCTGCTTAAACAGTCTGCAAACACCCATTGCAATAAAAGTGGCCTTAAATGTGTGTTAAAATAAGCATGCTTTCTCTTCTTCCTAATTATTTATTCTGAGAACAGGAAATGGTATTGCATACTAGTTGTTCTTTAAAAGTTTACATTATATTTACATAGGTCATACCTTTAATTTTCTGCATAAATATCCAGATAAATTAATGCTTTTGCTTTTAAATTAATGATGTTTTTAAAGCAGTAAATACAATTGAGTTCTATACCTGAAGACCTTCTCTCACTGCTTCCAAAATATAAGGGACCAAAGAATAGTTCCAGAGATCCATGAACCACACTCTAGAACCTTCTACATCCATGGGGCAAGACAGGAAAAGTCGGGGACCTGAGAAGAAAAAAATAACAAAACATTTTGGAGAAAAGTTATATTTAACAATCTAAACACATATTTAGACATGATACGGTGGGGAAGGAATATATTTCTTACAGAATTCTTAGAAACTTTAATCTTGGCCAGCTTGATTATTATTAAGGTATGTTTTACTAAGGACCCAATGTCCTTTGGACTCTCCTTTCTTTTGACACTAAAATCTTAATTAAAAAAACATTACATATTAGAGTTAGGAGAAACCATAAAGGTCATAATCTAGTCAACTTGCCCCATTTGAAACGTATGCTGAAGTGAACTGCCAAATATAAAACACGTTTTTTCTAATCCACACCATGTCATTAGTGAGTGTCTCTATGGTTCATGCAATGGGAAAGGAACTTTTACATATGCCACTTAAGAAGTATTAAAAAACCCTCTTTTATGCTAGAGAGAAATAATTTAAGTCCGTCTTCATGAAAAATATAAAATGCATCAATTATCTATAGAACACCTAAATTATCTCTAAAATTTTCCCTCACAACTATATTTGATATGAACCATTAGCTAAAACTTGTTTTCAGCATAAAAAGTTACTCTAAACAGATACAATTTATTTTAAATGGTTATTTGATTTTTAGCTATCTGTGTATATTAAACTTATTTGAGCTCAGTAAGATCTTAATAAGCTGTAATTGTCAGGCAAATTGGAGAGTCAAAGCTTAGAAGGAGGCCAGCTTTCAGAAGGAGGAAAAAAGGAAAAGAAAACAAATCTTTGGAAGCTTGAAAAACATAAGCTTTACTTGTTATTTTCTACCACCCAATCTGGCCATCTTTACCATGTACTCCTTGTTCCTGGAAAATGGCATATTGCAATTTTGGAACTCACCAATGGTCACATCAGAAGAACTGTGTGTTTCCAAAAAACTGTTGAGATGATGCCACGCCTTAGGAATCCAATCTATAATTTTGACTAGATCATTATTGCGTATGTTCCTTTCGATTTCTACCTCTATCAGCTTCCTTCGAAGATATCTGCCTAAAAAGCTTTTTACTGGTTCTGTGTGGTTTGCACACAGTACCCACCTACAAAAAGAAAAACAATGTATCAGAAATCTTTACACAATTAAATTTTAAGTCCATAATAATTCTCTTTTCAATATAAAGTTCCTATTCAATTGGTTGCCACAATTTAATGATCAAAAGGGTGAAGAGGTCTATTAGCATTAGAGCTATTATGTAACTAACTTTTCTTTTGGAGCTAAAGAGAAGCTCATGTGCGTCAGAAGTGAGTGGGTGTGTACACACCCAGCACTCTTCTGTGGGAGAATCACAAATCCTGAAATAGGAACTCTCTTCGCAGGCCTCACACTTAGAAGAAAAGTGCTCTAGTTTAGCTGGTGGCATAGTGAGCAGGAAAAACATTTCTTTTTTTAAAGAAACATTTCTGGACACAGATTGAGGATCACAGTATGGCTGCTTGAGGAAGTGTCCTAAGAAGAGAGAATTATTTTCCCACCACAGGTCACCACAGGTGGGATTTGCCAATGTACAAACACATGAACAACAATTAAAAGCAAACGGAAAAAGACAATGCACTAAAAACCTCCAAAAAACAAAACATTCAATTTATCTCACCTGAAATTGTGATGCAGCTCTAGATTTGGTGATGAAGAAACTCCCTGATTCATTGTTCCAATAATATATGGACTGGGGGAAAAAAAAAGAGTAGAAATATGCAGATGCACTGAACGTAAAATAGATTTATGTATTAAATTCTCTTAGAAAACAATTTAGATAAATATGATATTCCATTTTATAATTAGGCTTTAAAAGGGTAATTTGTAATGTTAGGTTGCAAAATGACAAATACCACTGAACTAGAAACTAGGCTTTGGCACTCTAATTTCAGCTCTGGAAGTCTAGGGGAATCATTTTCCCCCTCTGAGCCTGTGTTTACTCATCTGTGAAATAAAAAGATTAGACAGCATAACCACAGTGGTCTCATTCCACTGTAACATCTTATGATTCTCATGCTTATAATCAAATTGATTAATTTCTCATCTTTTATTATTTCATAGTTATTTTAAAGGTTCTTAATAGCATGAAAGAATCTGTATTCTTGTCTCAATGTTTATTTTATGCTAATCTGTATTAAAAAATTTAAAAGTCTCTAGCAGTGATTAATTGGAATACTTGTACCATGAAAACTAATGTTTATATTACTGCACTTAAATATCTTTTTTAGATGCCATGCTACTATGAGTCTTAAGTGGGTTTTCAGCTTTTTATACCCTATTTTAAGCTTTTTAAAATTTTAAATAGTTAAAAATTAGACTCACTAATGGAGAGAGGTATATCTGAATATGTTATATTGCTGTCTACAGGAAGGTTAAATTTAAACTTTGATGTGGACTAAGAATGAAACCAGAGCTTTAAAGCCTCACTCTAGTTCTTAATTTCCCTGATTCAAACATTCTGCCATTGATAATGGTCTTCCATATCTATTGGATCTAACCGCAGATCTATTGGAGCTAACATCATTTGGTAAATCATGTTTCCATAAACATGCCTGGGACAGAGTTGCTGAATGAACAACTAGATTTTCTAAGAAGTACAAACAGATTCTTTGGAAATAATGTGTAATATTAATGAAGGCTTCTCAAATCGATGACATCTATTACAAGGCTTAAAAGTTATAAAGGCATAAGAAAGCACATTTGATCACAATGTTTTTTTTTTTTTACGTGAAATCATTCATCATTCAAAATATCTTGTAAGCGTACCATTTGTTGTATTTACAGTTGAGGAAACCGTTGAAGATATCACTCAAAGAGCCCACATGATGAAGATTATCGAGAATTATTACAACTGGAAGCTCGGCACCATTATTATCAGCACTGCACTGTTCAGCCAGGCTAGCTAGATACTGTTGCAATTCCTTTACAAAAGTAAAGAACACAAACACATCCATGATACGTTTATGTCATTGGCAAGAAATGCATATTTCAAGAGTAGCAGACATTGTCTTTCATCCAGTCTCTTTGATTCCAACTCATAGGTTATCCTATTGACATAAAACCTTATCTATGCAGCCAGTACAGAGCACCCACAACAAACGGACAACCGAGAACACCAAGGTGTATTCCTCAGCTGTCTTCTCCCCTAATGAAAAGCAACAAGAGTTCCAGAAGTGAATTCTTATGATAAATGATATTGAGACTTCTTCCTTGTTTTTGAAATTTCAATGATCTAAATGGATGCTGGCAAACCTTATGGTTATAAGTATAGCATTAATCCAGAATGGCACCCCTAAATGCCCATGTATATTTTAAACTCCAAATAAGTTTGAATTCCAACTCATTTCAATGGGGTGCATCTGAAAGTGCTACCCTGAGACTCAGATAAACATGTGGCATTTATTTATTTATTTATTTATTTATTTATTTATTTATTTATAATCTGTACACAAATACTGTAATTTTAAATAAACACAAAATTTGTTACATTTTATTGGGTCAGTGGACATTAGCATTTAGCATTTCTTGAGCTTCTTGGTTCTTTTACAGGCATTATTCTTTTCTAATAGCTTTTAATGTAAGTAGGATAACACGTTCACTGATTGCTCTCGCAGATGTGCAGGCCAAAAACATAATTACGCTTCCTAGAAATATCTTAATCAGTAAGAACATTTCCATAACATTTGCATATTTACAATGACATTTTCAATTTGCAAGTTTTGCTCAGGGTTAAAAACAATTCCACAATCCCTATTTCTGGCAGCCAGGTAAATATGTGAACTGCTCAACCTACATGCAACTCCATCTGCAGTTCCACTTTTAAAACTAGAAGTAGAAAGGGATAAATGACAGTAACCAGAGTTTTGCGGTATTTAGTACTATATTGAAGTTCAAATATAAAACTTATTAAAGAACTAATACACTATCTTGCTCTGAGCCAATCACATAGAATAAATAGTGACTAAATCAGAGATTACAGAGAAGGATGTTTACAGATAAACTGGTGAACAGTCTGCAGAATTTCATTTATTTTATTTATATCAATGATCTAGGTATATTGAGTTATTCACTTATTCATAAAATATTCATTGTTTATCCACTATGTTCAAACCTGAGGGTGTACAGAAATAATGACACATTGTGCAAATAAGTTCATGTAAGTTTAACATTTATTATGAACTGAGTCAAGTACTGTGCTGGATATAGGAGTTAAAAAAAGTAATTGGACTGTCTTCTTGCATAGGCTTTAAAAGTTGTCACATTAGGGAATTTAAATACGATAAATCATTTGATGTCAGTGTATTAGGAGCTATAAGAGGTCAGGAAAGGAGATTTTGCCTAGTTGGTGGGTGTCAAGGAAAGCTTTCTGGAGGAGCTAATGCCAGAGTTTGGGAGGGTGGTAGGCACAAGTTAACTAGTGAACTTACAAATGCAGTATGAAACATTCCATGAGAGGTTAAAGAAGAGAAGTGCTCGTAGGAGGGAGAAGGATTAACTCCGAGTGGTCCTGATGCACTTCACAGAGAGGTAGAATTTTAGATAGATCTTGAATAATAAGTGGAATTCCAAATGATAAGTATGAAGTTGCTTATCCCTTCAACACACATTTAGCAAGTACTTGCTCTGTATCAAGTACTCTGGCACCAAGGATTCAGAGAATGTTTCTGTATTCCACGAACTTAGAGTTGATAAACAGCAAGGCAGGTCAACAAGTAAATCATGATGCAGTGTGATAAGTGAAATGCACAAAACACTGTAGGGAAACTTAATAGGGGCATCTAACCCAGGCTTGCAATTCAGAGAACAACAGGGTAAAGTGGGGAAAACTATCAAAGTTTAAAGATTAAAGAGTGAAAGCTGGCAGGCAAATGTACATGATGTGTGTGGGGAAATAACTGTTCTGTTTTTGCAACAGAAATGATGCATGGTGGAGGTGGCCACCTGAAGAGAAAATAGAAATGACTTTGAATTCAGTCAGAGGACTTTAGAAGCAACTGTAAACTACTGATTTTTTTAAATAATGAAAAACAATTTATTTATTAAAGGAAACATACATGTAAAGGATATGATGATTAATTATAAATGGAAAAGCACTCAAGGAGCATATCGCCCAGAAAAGTAGGGTAGGCTTGTGTATATGTATATAACTATAATTCACAGTAAAAAGTAATACATAGCTTTAGAAAAGTGTAAACCAGGACTTCTGGCCAAGATGGAGGCATAGTTAGACACACTGTGCCTCCTTACACAACCAAAAGAAGGACAAGAATAATTTAAAAACAAATAACAATCAGTACTGACAGAAAATTGAACTGTATGGAAGTTCAACAACCAAGGAGTTAAAGAAGATACATTCATACAGACTGGTAGGAGGGGAGGAGTCGGGCAGCCTGGGCAGAGTGGGCTTATGGCAAAGCAGTGGCTGGCGGACCCTGGACGTGCAAGGCAGCGGCTGCTGGACCCAGACAGGCAGTGGATTGTGGAGCGGGTAGTGGTGCGTAAGGCAGCTGGCACACCAGGCAGTCCCGATTTTGCACACAGATAAACCAGGTGAAACTGGGGAACCAGACAAACCAAGCAACCCAGGGTCCCAGCACAAGGAAATAAAGCCCTCAAAACACCTATTGAAAACACCTGTGGGGGTTGCTGGGAGAGACTCCCAGACTCACAGGAGAGTTCGTTGAAGAGACCCACAAGGTTCTAGAAGGTACACAAACCACACACCTGGGAATCTGCTCCAGAAGGGCCCAGTTTGCTTGGGGGAAGCAGGGGAAGTGACTGATATCCAGCAGAGAGCGGAGCAAGCACTGCCGTTTCCTCTCAGACCCCTCCCCCACATACAGAGTCACAACCCAGCGACTGGGTTGCCCTGCCCTGGTGAACACCTAAGGCTCTCCCCCTCACTATGTAACAGGTGCCTCAAGACAAAAAAAATGGCTTAAACAAAAGAACAGATAAAAGCTCCATAAAAAATACAACTAAGCGACGAGATTGCCAGCCTATCAGATGCACAGTTCAAAACACTGGTAATCAGAATGCTCACAGAATTGGTTGATTTTGGTCACAAATGAGATGAAAAAATGAAGGCTACACTAAGTAAAATAAAGGAAAATGTACAGGGAACCAATAGTGATGGGAAGGAAACTGGGACTCACATCAATGGAGTGGATCAGAAGGAAAAAAGAAACAACAAAATAGAAAAGAATGAAGAAACAAGAATTCAAAAAAATGAGGAGAGACTTAGGAACCTCCAGGACATCTTGAAACGTTCCAACACCGAATTATAGGGTACTGGAAGGAGAAGAGGAAGAGCAAGAAGTGGAAAAGTTATTTGAACCAATAATAAAGGAGAACTTCCCCATTCTGGCAAAGGAAATAGACTTTCAGGAAGCCCAGGAAGCTCAGAGAGTCCCAAAGAAGTTGGACCCAAGGAAGAACACACAGAGGCACATCATAATTACATTACCCAAGATTAAAGATGAGGAGAGAATCTTACAAGCAGCAAGACAAAAGGAGAGAATTACCTACAAAGGAGTGCCCATAAGACTGTCAGCTGATTTCTCTAAAGAGAACTTACAGGCAAGAAGGGGCTGGAAAGGAGTATTCCAAGTCATGAAAGGCAAGGACTTACATCCAAGATTGCTCTATCCAGCAAAGCTTTCATTTAGAATGGAAGGGCAGATAAAGTGCTTCTCAGATAAGGTCAGGTTAAAGGAGTTAATCACTAGCAAGTCCTTATTACAAGAAATGTTAAAGGGACTTCTCTAAGAAAAAGAAGATAAAAAACGTGTACAGTAAAATGACAGAAAACTCACAATTAACAACCACACCTAAAACAAAAACAAAAGCAAACTAAGCAAACAACTAGAACAGGAACAGAACCACAGAAATGGAGATCATGGAAGGTTAGCAACAGGGGAGTGGGAGGAGGAGAGAGGGGGAAAAGGTACAGAGAATAAGTAGCATAGATGGTAGGTAGAAAATAAACAGGGGAGGGCAAGAATAGTATGGGAAAAGTAGAAGCCAAAGAACTTACAAGTATGACACATGGACATGAACTAAAGGGTGGGGGGGAATGTGGGTTGGAGGGGGTATGCAGGGTGGAGGGTAGTGAAGGGGGAAAATGGGACAACTGATAGAGCATAATCAATACAATATTTTTTAAAAAGTGTAAACCAAAGAGTTTGTTCAGAGCATGTAAGGATTACATGCAGCTGCTGGGAGAGACTTCCTGGTGGCAGAATTACTTTCTATGAACATTTCACTTTTAAATTGGGTAATGTTTTGAGGCTTAAAAATGGACAAGCTTTCCAAATAGAGAAGAACAATCAAAAGCAGAAACATACAAAAAATGATACCCATATAGGAAAGAACTAGTTGTATAAATATTGTGCATGTGAATAGTGGTTAATAAACTGGACAGAAAAGTGGGCAACTATGGTTACTAAGGTTACTGGAATTCTCCTATTGGCAAGGACAAGGCATTGAATGTAATGGGAATCTGAGTAATGTGGTCAAAATCATAATTTCAAAGTCAAAAGAACACTGAATTTGTTGAAGCCAAAACCCACTATGGGACTCAATACAGATAGAAGTGTGGGAAGATATTTGATCTAGTGCAGAAAGCAATAGGGAAAATGCAGAATTTTAATATGGTTAGATTTTAATTATGAAAAGATACTCTATTTTTCATGAGGTGAAAGGATGAAGACTAGAGAGAAGGGAAATGAAACATAAGTTGTGGGACAAGCAGTTGTAGTAATCCCTGTGATAGAATGTTAATTTGGGTGGAAGGGTGGTCCCAGTGAAGATGGAGGGAGGGAAGGTGAATTTATGATATTTTTTCAGAGTTGAGATTGGCATTTCTAAATATGTATAGTGCATGTATGCTAATATAAACATATTTGTAAGCTAATAGGAA